GCTTACAAAGGCCAAGACCGCCAACAACAATAACATACACATGCACAATAAAAGTCATAAGCAAATAAAAACATCAAGCAAAGCATTAGAACAATAAAAAACAATGACACAGTGACGCATTTAAAACCAAGGGCCGGGCCAAGTGTAATAGATAAAATTTAAAAGTGCAGGACTTGACAAGTGATATGTAGAGGTATTTGGAGGTAGCTGCAATGTGCGAATAATCCTGAATCTCTCACAAAGTGCATTTGGGACTTGATGCCAGTTCTTAAATTCTAAAGAATGCTTAAATTCTGACAGGCAGCCAATGAAAAGGTCCTCTGGGTGATGATGATGATGATGATGATGATGATAATAATAATTAATAAACTTTATTTATACCCCGCCACCATCTCCCCAACAGGGACTTGGGGCAGCTTACCTGAGGCCAGGCCCACTCAACAAATCAAAACAAAATAAAACCAAAAACACATACAATAAACAACAACATCATAATTTCATAAAACACATGAATACTTTAACAATATAAGATTACAATAAACACAGTCACAGTAACAATGGGCGGCTACATGTGCGAGAAGATGATTTAAAAACTGATTAAAAACATGGGCGAGATAAAAGGAGGAGCAGGTTATTTGCGGAGGGGGGTGATGGACACCAGTTGAGTTCTGGTTAGCTTTAGCACAGAGGATTAAGCCGCTGGGCCGGGCTTTAGCACAGCGGGTTAAACCGTCAGCTGCAGAAAATCCTGCCAATCAAAAGGTCAACAGTCCAAGCCCGGGCTGGGGTGAGCTCCCAATCATCAGCCCAGTTTCTGCTCACCTAGCAGTTCGAAAACAGCAATGTGAGTAGGGGATGTAATAAAAGGTGTCCATGTGGACATGCCAGCAATTCGACCGGGAGAGCGTTTAAGGACAACAAAGCCCTCGGCATGGAAGATGGAGTGATAGTACCCCTTCACCCCAGGTGATTGGAATCAAGCACAGCCTCCAGATGCCAAGATGGAAAAAGATGGGAAAGCCTTTACCTCTGTTTATGTACTGTCTGTCTTTATTATTTGTATAACGGCACTGAATGTTTACCGTATATGTGTACTCTAATCCACCCTAACTCCTCTCAGGTACATTATTATTATTAGCTGGAATAGCCACCCTCCAGAGGACCTCAGTGTCCAGAGCGGGTTGTATGGGAGAAGGCAATCCTGTAGGTAATTGTATTATTATTATTTTATTTAGTTTAGTTTTGGTTACATGTACTTCTGCTTTTTCCTTATTCCTAAAAAAAGCCCTCAGTTTGGCTAGTGGAGGATTGGTATCTTTCATGTCAGAGGGGTTGTGATTCCACTCTGAACTTCAAAGTAGCTCTCCCAGGTCCTTTTCCTATTTGAAGTATAGAGTTCAGCACCTTGAATGGTTTATTTGAAGTTCAGACTATAACCTAAAATAGATTCACTGTCCCATTGCATTTTCAAACAAACATTGTCACAGTGAGATCATTACACATTATAAAACACCACTAAGGGGTATTAACCAGATATTTAAAGAACATGCTACCAATTTATTGTCGAAGGCCTTGATGGCTGGAATCACTGGGTTGTTGTAGGTTTTTTCGGGCTATATGGCCATGTTCTAGAGGCATTTTTTCCTGACGTTTCGCCTGCATCTATGGCAAGCATCCTCAGAGGTATTGCCGTGAGTCCTAACTGGGGAGATGGCAAGGTAATGATGATGATGAAAATAATGATAATGACAACCACAATAGTAAATTCCTGAAGTGTAGGATTATTTCTAGTAGTGTGGCTTGTCATGAAAGTGACACTGGTCAAAACTCTCTCCTTCTACGCAGTATATAAATGTACAGGGAGCCTTGTCCTATTTTGGATTTAACCACTGCATCTTACAAAGGGAGGGATGAAAACCTGCCATCTTAAATTCCTCTTAAATAGAACAGACAACCGTAAAAGTAGGAGTGCAACTTTGTCTGCAGAATCCAAAGCTCATCTAGGTTTTTTAAAGCAGAAATTTGAATGATCACAGCTGTGGTAATAATGATAATGTGTTTCAGCAGCAAGTCGGGGCTGTAGAAACGTATAATTCATCTTGGTTTGATTTCTGATTGAGTTGCTCATTGATGGAGTTATTGTTTATTTTTCTGTGTCGTCATATAGTTGTGTTGTTTACATGCTTTCCATACTTTTGTCATTGTGCCCACTCTAGGGTAAGATAAATTAAAAGATGCGCTTTTTAAAAGGGCATTGGGAAGGATCTATGACCTAAATCCTACTTTTTAATCCCAGCAAGAACAGACTGATTGAGCTAATTGGATTTGCCTTTGTGTTAACTTGCCCTTCAACAGTTAATGGATCCACTTTAATTGGGATTACCCAGTAGGACTGAGACCTGTATACAGGGCAAGGCTTTCTCATTGTTAGTTTCATTTATTTATTTATTTATTTATTTCATATCAAAAGCATTACATAAATTAGTATAAAACTGATAAAAATAGAAGGAGTGCAGGTGGCTAAATATCTTTTGACCAAAAATGGGCAACAGCAACGGCATTGTCTGTAGCCTCCAACAATTCTTCCTCTGTATTTTTTATTTACAGCATTTATATTCCACCCTTCTCACCCCACAGGGGACTCAGGGCGGATTACAATGTACACATATATGGCAAACATTCAATGCCAATTAGACATACAACGTATATAGACATACACAGAGGCTATTTCACTTTTTCTGGCCGCCAGGGGAGCTGTCACTTTCATCGTCCATCTGCGACACTGATGAAGTACTTCCACATTCCCTGTATGCTTTGCTGGAGTGCTTTTTTTGCTGGAGTCTTTCTATGGCCTCATAAATTAGTTAATTAGCCTCCCCACACATAGGTGGTACCTAATTTTCCTACTTGACAGATGCAACTGTCTTTCGGATTGCAAAGGTCAACAACAAGCTACACAATTGGTCGGACACTCACTCTGACCTGGGCTGGCTTCGAACTCATGACCTTCTGGTCAGAGTGATCTTAATGCAGCTGACACTCAGCCAGCTGCGCCACAATCCCGGTGCATGAGGCAGGGCATAGCGGACAAGCATACAGATGTGGAGTTGTCTGTTCTGCTCTGTTGTCTGTTCTTCTTAGCTTCATGAAGATTGCAAAGTTATGGCCAGAAGCCATTAGTAATAGCTTAAAATTAAAAAAAAGATGACTTTCTTCATGGTTGTGTCCACACTAGGACTGGAATCCTATTAGTGGCATACTCAATGGATTGTCACGTTGTCATGGTGAGGGGTCTATGTGTTCTGGTGAACCTGCAGGCAAAGCAGTTGGAGTCATATGCTCCGGGGGGGGGGGGCTCCCTGGGCAGCAAGGTCACAGCAGAGGAGCCAGACAAAATACAATCTGAAGTCCTCAATGGTGGACCAAGCAGATGATAACATAGTAAAAGTGGCTGTGAAGGGGGATGAAGACTGCAACAGGTGAGAAGCCACTAGTCATCAGGTTAACTATGCCACTAGATGTGAACCTCTCTCTGTGAAGACTGAGTATTGATCAAATGTGCACTGATCTCTACACATAAAACAAATTAACACACAGGCATCTTCCAAGGAAAAGAAAAGAAATGCAACAAAAGTCCCATGGCAATTAGCAAGTGGTGATGGGGGCAGGACTGTGATATCTGGAAGTCCCTAGCCATAGACTTGCACATGGACAGTAGATACGGATTCAGTTGTTCTACCTCAAGGTTCCACGCAGTTGAGTAGTTTGCCAGCTATATCCATGGCTGAGCAGCCTTTTTTAGGATCCACCCTGTTCACCCCTCATGGGGAAGGGGCTAGAAAATGTGCCATAAACATGGTCTGCCTCTCTTATCCCTGACTGGACTGCTGTGCCCAGAGGGGTCACCACCTTGGGGTCAAAAAAGACTTTATTACAGTAACTTACATAACTTTATTACAGTACTGTAACTTTATTACAGTCGCTTCTCGGCCTTTTTGCTAAGATCAAGTGTAGTATAGTGCTCAGTACAAAGAAAAATCAAGATTTGCTTTTTGGTGGGTTTTTTCCCCAAATATTTTTGAGCCATGATTGGTTGAGTCCATGGATGATTTGGCCAAGCTTAGCCAATAGATTTTCATGGCTGATGAAGGATTCAAACTTTGGTCCCCACAGTCGTGGTCCAATGCTGAAACCACTACATCATCCTGGCTCTTGAGATTAGAATAGGTGGCTTCAAATGCCATTGACCTGGGATCACAAATAAGGTGTAGATCAAAAGTCATGTTCCTTTATTTGCAATTTCCCAGCAAAATACATAAGAGAGTCTGAGCTCCAAATTGCAAATAAAGGAACATGACTTTTGTAAACATGTAACAGAATGGCATGTTCAAGCCACATCAATAACTGAGTTGTGGTAGGATGAGATAGTCTGAATCTTCTTCTCAGAAATATGTTTGTGAAAGAATGGGTGTATAAACAGTAGGAGAAAAATACAGAATATAATAAAGTTATAAGGTATAGCAAATGGGAATAATGACTTATCAGCTGACCATTGCTATAACTCCTTCTACATTGGGGATGGGAACACTGAGACTCTCTGAATATTTGTTGGACTACAACTCCCAGAATGCCTCACTATTGGCAAAACTGCGTAGCTCTGTCTTGCACAGTCCAACGATAGCTAGAAGGCACAATTTGCTCATCTTTGGCCTAAAATCAATTGCACCAGAGTTGATCCATTGAATAAATAAGATGTATGTATATGTTACTTTACCACTTAGCAACTATTTTATTACGTCTGTCTAGTTAGAACTAACTATTTGATTTTGGCCACTGTTTCCTGAACTAATGAAAGACTGGAAACTTTTATTAAAGCAAGATCTGTCTTTCTGTATATGTATGTTAGAGCAAGTGAGAGAGAAAATAAAAGAGAGTGAATGATAAATTTTATTTCCCATGCATATGTGCTTATCTAACCCTGTCTTCTTTTTCTCTTCCAGAGATGACTTTGCTCCCTGAATTTCCTTGAGTCAACTTCTGACGAATAAGTGTCCCTTTTTATACCCTGGACCGTGTGGGAGCGAAGGGTCCGTGGAGGGCACAATGTCCTTCTTGCCACTCTATGCCCTGCTGATGCTACTCCTGCAAGCAGCAACATTTGACCCCCACCCTTGCCCGCCCCAGTGCGTCTGTGAGACCCGGCCATGGTTCACCCCACAGTCTGTCTACCATGAGGCCCGCACAGTGGACTGCAATGACCTCCTCCTGACCCAAGTGCCAAGCAATCTCTCCTCAGACACCCAGGTACTTCTTCTGCAGAGCAATAAGATCTCCCAGGTCAATGGGGAACTCCAGCACTTGTCCAACCTGACTGAACTCGACTTGTCCCAGAACCACTTCTCCAGGATCAGCGATGCTGGACTAGCCAACCTCTCACGTCTCATTACACTTTACTTAGAGGAGAACCAAGTGGAGGAACTTCCAGATCACTGCTTGAGTGACCTGGCATCACTTGAAGAACTGTACATAAACCACAACCGCATCTCCACCATTCAACCATTGGCCTTCACTGGCCTGACCAGTCTGCTCCGGCTGCACCTAAATGCCAATCGCCTCCGTGCCATTGACCACCGTTGGTTTATCTCCCTCCCTAACTTGGAGATCCTGATGATTGGTGAGAATCCTATCTCCCGACTTACCGGTGGGAGTTTCCATCCACTGGGGCGACTTCACAGCCTGGTCTTGGCTGGGATGGAGCTCTGTGAAGTCCCTGCTGATGCCTTCCGAGGCCTGGACTACTTGGAGAGTTTATCCTTTTATGACAACCACCTTCCCCATGTCCCCACGCAAGCTCTGAAGGGCCTCCCTCTGTTGAAGTTCCTGGACCTCAATAAGAACCCCATTGCAGAAGTCCGGGCAGGAGATTTCAAGGATATGCTGCACCTAGAAGAGCTGAGCCTCAATGGCATGGAGGAGCTCTCTGGCATCCACAAAAGTGCTTTTGAGAACCTTCCAGAGTTGGCCAAACTTGAGCTGTGCAACAACCCACATCTCTCCTACTTACACCCGGAGGCCTTTCAGGGGGTGCCAGCTCTTCGCACTCTGCTAATGAGTAATGCAGCCCTCAGTCTTCTCCCTCTCGGCTTGATAGGAACCTTGCCAGCTTTGGCTGAACTCAATCTGTATGGAAACCCACTGCGCTGTGATTGCCTGAAAGCTTGGGAGCCAATAGCCATGAGTCATATTCGATTGATTGAGTCTCAAACCACTCTTTGCGCCTCTCCCCCAGAAGCTGCTGGGCAAGAGCTCCAAGAAGCATTTAAGAGTGCCATGGGAGGGACCTGCCTGCCAGAGATTACCTCCAAGGATCTCCCAGAACGGCTGGAGGTATCATCTGGCTCAACAGTAGCTCTTGATTGCCAGGCCAGCTCAGAGCCGCCACCACAATTCCACTGGATATCCCCGTCTGGAGAAAAGTTGACCACAGGGTCTGGAAGATTGCATCTCAGGGCTGGAGGAACCCTGGAGATCAGCACAGTCAACTCAGCAGACTCAGGTATCTACACTTGTGTGGCAAGGAATAACTTTGGTTCAACTAGTCGTAGTGTGGCTCTTGCCGTGATTGGTGAAAGGAATGTCAGCCCTGTCAAGCTGCTTGTCCTTGCTAAGAAGATCCAGTCTCACTTTGTGGTGGTGGAATGGATGACATCCTTCATGGAAGGGCAGAAGAATGAGAGAGGCAGTGACTCAGCCACAGCCCATCCACTGGCTACACCAGTGTGGTCGTCAGCCACCATGCGAATCCACAACCCCCACCTGAGCTACACGGCACGGGTCCCTGTGGGTATCCGGGAATTCAACCTCACGCACTTGCAACCTGCCACCCGTTATGAAATCTGCCTTACTGTCATGTCCTCTGTCCCCAAGTCCTCAGCTGCTGGTGGTTACACAGACCTCTCTACATCTGTAGAAACATCTGCTAGGACTTCGACATCTGTGAGTTCGCTGGAAGTGGGCTTAACAACCACAGAGGTGTCTGTGTCTTCTGCAAGTCCCTTAGGCACCTCCAGAGGTCCTCCAGCCTTGCTTATGGCTCATCTCTTGGCAACAGTGGTCTCTTCCTCCACTTCCAAAGCTTCCTCGGCACCCTCTACCAGTCCCTGGCCAACCACAACCACTGCACCACCTGTCTGGCAGCTGCCCCGCATGCAACGCTCCTGCCTCAATGTCACCACCAAGGAGGCCTCGCTCTCTGTTGAACTGGTGGGAGGCTGGGCAGGAGGAGCAGCCCTGGCAGCTGTCACCGGCTCCTTGTTAGCAGCTCTGAGTGCTGTGCTCCTGCTCCTCTGTGCCTCGCGGAGGCTTAAGGAAAAAGGCTGTCGCCATTCACTCAAGAAGTACATGCAGCACGCAGCAGCCATTCCCCTCAATGAGGTCTACCCGCCACTGATCAGCTTGTGGGACGCGGAGGGGGACCCACCTCTGCCAATGGCTCCGTTGACACAACTGGCCCCATCCACCCTTCCAATTGCTCCACTTCCGCCTGCCACCACTTCCACAGTGGGAGGACCCAGTCTTCTTCTGCCACCCCCTCCCAGCCAGATTGACACTTCCAAGACCTATCTGTGGCAACAGCCGTGAATTCGGCAGGGCAGCCACACACAGCTCTTCTTCCATCCCTGGACAGGAAAGCCTTCGCTCCCCACAGATTTTTTAAGGGTATAAAGAGTGGGTTTTCCAGGTCTTCCCAAATCTATGTACTACTTGCCTCCTACCTTTTCTCCTTGCACTCTATCTCTCACATACACACACACACCGCAACTCTATGCCCTACTGGTAGGCAGTACCAGGAACCTGGTATGTAGGTTGGGGTGTTTTCTTTTTTTAATCCAAGGTCTCACTGTGTAGTTGTAGCCAAATATAGGGAGGGGAGGGTCAGGCAGAGGATGACCGGGGCCCCTGGGACAGTGTAGCCCCTGGGGGGCAGGAAACAGAAACAATTTTGAATAAAGTTCTAGAGTTGGACAACACCAAGAGTGTCTGGGTGTATTTGTTGGGGCAGAAATACACACACACACACACACACACACACACACACACACACGGCACTGTGAGCAGTTATGTACTGTGTACTGGAACCAAACCTCTTGCCAAAATTGAACACACCAGAGAAAGAGAGAGCTTTCACCCAAGAAGGTTGAAATGTTCCCCTCTGGTGGACATTTCAGGGATAACAGGGCTGCTTTTCCTACTGGGCCGCACTACAGACTTTGAAGACAAAGTTTAGCATGAGTTGCTTGGCTTTCCTTTTCTAAAAAAGACAGTTATGTGAGGATTAATTGTGCTTCCTGATCAATTAACGAAGTGTCCAACGTGTGAGTGTCTGCTGTGGTCTCATCTTGTTGTTTCAAATAATAATAATAATAATAACTTTATTTTTGTACCACGTCTCCACCTCCCCAACACAAGGTGCCTATAAAATATGCATAAAATGAACACACAGTACAATACAAAAAAGTAAAACCAATAGCACATAAAACAGCAATTGAAAACTCAGAACAATGCCCAATTACCTATGGCAGTGTTTCTCAACCTTCCTAATGCCGCAACCCCTTATTACAGTTCCTCATGTTGTGGTGACCACCAACCATAAAATTACTTTTGTTGCTATTTCACAACTGTGATTTTGCTACTGTTGGGAACTGTAATGTAAATATCTGATATGCAGGATGTATTTTCATTCACTGGACCAAATTTGGCACAAATACCCAATACGACCAAATTTGAATACTGGTGGGGTTCAGACGAATTGATTTTGGGAGTAGTACTTGCTGGGATTGATAGTCCATCTACAATCAAAGAGGATTCTGAACTCCACCAACAATGAAATGGAGCCAAACTTGGCATACACATCTCCCATGGCCAATAGAAAATATTGGAAGGGTTTGGTGGGCATTAACCTTGAGTTTTGGAGTTGTAGTTCATCTACATCCAGAGAGCACTGTGGACTGAAACAATGATGGATCTGAACCAAACTTGGCATGGATACTCAATATACCCAAATGTGAACACTGGTGGAGTTTGGGGAAAAATAGACCTTGACATGTGGGAGTTGTAGTTGCTGGGATTTATAGTTCACCTACAATCAAAGAGCATTCTGAACCCCACCAACGATAGAATTGGGCCAAACTTCCCACACAGAACCCCCATGACCAACAGAAAATACTGTGTTTTCTAATGGTCTTTGGCGACCACTCTGATACACCCTCGCGACCCCCACAGGGGTCCCGACCCCCAGGTTGAGAAACCCTGACCTATGGTGACAACTGCCGTAAGACATGGCCAAACCATAAACAAGACAAGGGAATGGGATAGTGCAAATTGTAGCTAAGGAACAAAGGGAAGTCTGGGTTCAAAACTGCCCCTCCTCCATTTTTACATTATTAATTCACATGCCCCTAACCCTAACCCTTCACATTAGGATCCCCCAGTGGGACAATGGGTTAAACCCTTGTGCTGGCAAGACTGAACACCGACAGGTCGGAGGTTCGAATCCAGAGAGAGCGCGGATGAGCTCCCTCTGTCAGCTCTGGCTCCCCATGCAGGGACATGAGAGAAGCCTCCCACAAGGATAGTAAAACATCTTGGTGTCCCCTGGGCAACATCCTTGCAGATGGCCAATTCTCTCACACCAGAAGTGACTTGCAGTTTCTCAAGTTGTTCCTGACATGAAAAAAAAACCCTCCACATTCACTAACAATAGTAGTACAATGTATTGTCGAAGGCTTTCATGGCTGGAATCACTGGGTTGTTGTAGGTTTTTTTTTGGGCTATATGGCCATGTTCTAGAGGCATTCTCTCCTCACAACCTCTGAGGATGCTTGCCATAGATGCAGGCGAAATGTCAGGAGAGAATGCCTCTAGAATATGGCCATATAGCCTGAAAAAGCCTACTACAACCCCATAGTGGTACAGGCTCCCCTTGAAAGTGAAAAAACATGAATAAAGAAATCACTTTTTTTTAACCTGAAAGAGCACCTTCCTAGGAATTTCTAGGTTTTCAATCATATCTTTATGATCAATATTACCTTAGTGTTCTCTCTAGAAATCTCTACATCCTCAAATATGAGTGGAAGAAGTTGACCATAGAGTCACACTGGAGGCTGTAGAGATTACTGGAAAGAACATTTTAAATAAAATCCATGAATGATCAAATCCACAAAAGTCTAAAACGGCAGATGTGGAGAGATGACAGCAACGACATTTGAAACAGTTCTGAGATTGAGTCCTGGTAGAAGTAGTCGTTTGAGTGGTAGACTAAGCTTCTGGAAGCCAGGTTTCAAATCTCAGCTTGTCCATGAATCCCAGTGGGTGACTATGGGCAAGTCATACTTTCTCAACATCAGAGAAAGGCAATGACAACCCCTCCTTTCAAGAAATCTGGCCAAAAAAATGCTGTGATAGGATCACCATAGATGGGAAATGACCAGAAGGCACCAACAACAAAGTCTACCCATCAACACAGTGTTGCCTGATACTTGTAGATTTTGAAATGGCCTTAGCCAAAGCCACCAGACTTTCAGCCAGGGATTGCTTCCCTTTGTACTATTTCCAGTCTTTCCCTAGTCAGTTCAGTTCCTCTGAAGTTCTCCAGCCAGTGAAGGATTACCATCATACTAAATCCAAATGTGAAGAAAAGAATCAAGAGGTGATTATATGCTAGAGCTCATGGGGAATAGGCCTGTCAAGGACTATTAGCCATGAGAACATTTGCATTTGTTCTGTTGGTAGTTTCACCCAGCCATCCCTTCTTTGGGGATGTAGAGACAACAAAACCAACAGCGATGATGATGATGATGATGATGATGATGATGATGATGATGATGATGATTAGGCAGCTAATCAGCCAACCAGCCATAACCTCTTGGAGATCTGGAAAAGATGTTGCTGTTGTTCACATTTGGGAAAAGAAAACAGTTTCTGTAGTAATAGCTCTATAAACACTTTCAAATGAATTAACAAACCGAACATAAATGCAAGTGTAATACAGATTGAGTATCCCTTATCAGGGATGCTGAAATACTACAAGTCCAGAATTGTCCACATAGGTGACTGAGATAGATACCCCTTTGCTTTCTGACACTGTACACAAACTTAGTTTCACGCTCACAAATATTTAAAATACTAGCTTAGGGACCCGGCGTTGCCCGGGTTATTAGAGAAAGTGGGTAATGGCGGTTCTGTATGCCAAGTTTGGTCTTTATTGGTCTTTGGATAACGGCTGCATTATTTTCAGGAAGTGAGTGAAGGTACTTGAAGTCCCATCATCCATGGTCCATCCTCCTCCAAACAGCAGCAGGATATAGAGTGGGTCATGGGGGCTCTGTGTGCCAAGTTTGGTCTTTATCAGTCATTGGATGAGGGTGGCAGTGGTTTCAGTAAGTGAGTGAAGGTACTGCAAGTCCCATCATCCAAAGTCCATCCTCTTTCAAACAGCAGCAGAATGTAGAGTGGATCATGGGGGCTCTATGTGCCAAGTGTGGTCTTCATTGGTCATTAGAAGAGGGTTGCAGCAATCTTTGGAAGGGAGTGGAGGTACTTGAAGTCCCATCATCCATGGTCTGTCCTCCTCCAAACTGCACCAGGTTGTAGAGTGGGTCATTGGAGCTCCATGTGCCAAGTTTAGTCTTGATTAGTCATTGGCGAGGGTCTCAGTGGTCTCAGGAAGTGAGCAAAGGTACTGCAAGTCCCATCATCCATCTCCAAATTTTTCCAAACAACACCAGGATGTAAAGTGGGTCATGAGAGGTCTATGTGCCAAGTTTGGTCTTGATCCGTCATTGGATGAGGTTTGCAGAGGTCTCAGAATGTGAGTGAAGGTACTGGAAGTTCCATCATCCATGGTCCACCCTTCTCCAAAACTGCAGCAGGATGTAGAGTGGGTCATGGGGGCTCTGTGTGCCAAGTTTGGTCTTGATTGGTCATTAGATGAGTTTTGCAGCAGTCTTGGGTAGTGGAGGTACTTGAAGTCCCATCATCCATGGTCTCCTCCAGTCCTTCGCTGTCCCCTAGATCTCCCTATCCTTTACACAAACCTGCCACACCGTGTGACTTTGTAGCAGGCCAGTGTGCGTCGCAAATTGAGAAACGACTTCCAATCTTGTAGCAAAGGCGGACTTGATACTAGTATGGATCCATGTCGTCACCGGCTGGAAGACTGTGCTCACGGGACTATGGTGCATGTTACCGTGCCGTGCACCAGTCCCATTCAATCCAACACACATTTCCGTTCAAACTACATTCCAACTAATCACAGTGATCTCAGGAAGTTAGTGAAGGTACTGCGAGTCCCATCATCTGTGGTCCATCCTCCTCCAAACTGCACCAGGATGGACAGTGGGTCATGGGGGCTCTGTGTGCTAAGTTTGGTCTTGATCAGCCATTGGATAAGGGTCACAGTGGTCTCAGAAAGTGAGTTAAGGTACCCATCATCCCATCATCCCATCATCCATAGTCTCTCTCAAACCTCACCAGAATGTTGAGTTGGCCATGAGGGCTCTCTGTGTCAAGTTTGGTCTTTATTGGTATTTGGATGAGTGTCACTGTGGTTTCATGAAGTGAGTGAAGGTACTGCAAGTCCCATCATCCATTGTACATCCACCTCCAAACTGCAACAGGATGTAGAGTGGGTCATGGGGGCTCTGTGTGCCGAGTTTGGTCTTGATTGGTCATTAGATGAGGGTTGCAGCACTCTTGGGAAGGGAGTGGAGTTACTTGAAGTCCCATCATCCATGGTCTGTCCTCCTCGAAAGTGCACCAGGATGTAGAGTGGGTCATGGGGACTCTGTGTGCCAAGTTTGGTCTTGATCAGTCATTGGCGAGGGTCTCAGTGGTCTCAGGAAGTGAGTGAAGTGACTGCAAGTCCCATCATCCATTGTCAAAGTCTTCCAAACCGCACCAGGATGTAGAGTGGGTCATGCCGGCTCTCTGTGTAAATTGTGGTCCTGATCCATCATTGTTGGCAGTTGTA